CTCCTCCCCTCCCCACCTTCAAACACTTTAATTCCATTTTTACATTTTCTCATACTGTTTTCCTTTTCCCTTATTCCCCTTTCCCTATCCTTCTCACTGTCCCTACATCTGAACCTGCTTCTTATTCCAAGAAGACCTGAGTTCTCAGTCTGTTTATAAACCAAGAAGCCAACAGGCCTTAGCCTTAGAAACCACCTGTGATCACCTGGTGAAATGACAGAGATCTGGCTGGGTGTAGTGGCGCACATCTATAATCCCAGTAATCAGGAGGCTGAGGCAGGAGGATCACCATGAGTTTTAGGCTTCATGGGCTACATAACGAACTGAAGGCCAGCCTGAACTACATAGCAAGACCCTGTCTCAAAAAGAAAAAAAAAAAAAAAAAGAAAGAAATGACAAAGATCCATCATGGCCTTGAGAGTTCACTGATCAGAACACCATCACAAACACCAACAGAAGCACCCTGAGGAGGACACACTAGCAAACAGGACACATTTCGGGCATCTTGAACAAATAGCCAAATGCAGAGAGCTGGTTCCTCTGTCCTGAGGCCCCTCCTTGCCCAAGCACACCAGGGCAGTGAGGCCAAACACACTAGCATGTGTTAGGGACCCTGCTCAGTGCCCACCACAGCCTGGAGGCCACACACCACAGGGTCTGCAGCAAACCCCAGCTGTCTGAGAAGACAGTACAAGTGATTTCTTGTCACAGAAGAAGCAAAAAAACAGAATCAATGGCCTTGTGTTTCCACAGAAAGGCAGGTCTACAGAAAACTGCCCCATCAAAGCAGCCAGGACTGGCTGGCTCACACCTGCTGCCGCAGCACCAAGGGCCACACTCCCCAACAGATTTCCACTCAGGATGCTCTGAGTAACTCTAGAGAAAGTGAGGATTCTCAAGATGACGTGAAAGAATGCTCCTCACAGGGACAACCCAGCACAGGAGACACTTGAGCTCCTTATAATGTTCTGTGGTGAAATGGGCATTTATAGGAAGAAACAGGCAGTAGCTCTCCACCGTGGTGCTAGGCTAGTGCTGTCTATCTCCATGGCAGTCCCTGGGAGCAGGGCCAGTGCTATGTGACCAGCAACCATCACCAAGCTTACCATGCACAGGTCAGGCAGCCAAAGGTGCTGTCCCTGAGCTAAGTTGTCCCTAAGGAGGGAGGAATGGTGAGTGCTTGCAAACCTAGTGGGAAATCCTATAGACATTCCTTGCTGACCACTCAGGGGTCCCCCGGCCCAGCTCAGCCATGGAGAGCAGGACCACATACATGGGCCCTCAGCCACAGTTGCTTGGGAGTGCGGCCAAAGCCAGAGCGGAGGCACATATAGGAGCAACAACTGAATAGTAGTCATGGAACTTTTACCAGGGTCAGAAACTGTTCAAAACAAGAGAGCTGGGGGGAAGGGGTAGATGACCTCACACAAAAGAGAGATAAAGAATTCATAGGCAGAAGCCATCCCTTCTGCTTGCCTGGGTGGGTCTTTAAGGGTAGATTCCTATGTCCTCACCTCTGGCTCAGCAGTCAAAAGGCAGACAGCAGAAAGCAGAGGGACCTGCCCACCCCAGCAAAGGTCACGTGCAGATTGGTCCAGTGGCTGGCATGGCCACGCCCAGGCTGTGCACCAGAGCCCTGGCTTAAGGCAGGCTGCCAGAGCCTTCAATTCCTCAGTATGCCACCTCACCCAGGAAAGGGTCTCACCTCATGTCTCCAAGCTTCTTGCTGATAGCAGAGCCCATGGTAGACAAGGCAGCAGAGGTCTTCTGTCCTGCCTGAGAGAGAGTTTCCTGGGTCTTCTTGTAGCTGGGAGGAAGACACACCAGTTAAGACTAACCAAGCAGCACAGGTAGGTACAAATCACTGCCAAGAAACAAAGTGCCAGGAGTGCACCCAAGAGAGAGGTGGGGAGGAGTCTGGTGGGCAGTAGGCACTGGCTGGGTTGCTGTAGAAGGGCAGGGCAGGGGTCCCTGCAGTGCAGAATCAACATGCTCCCAGCAGTTACAATCCCCCAATCCTTAAATGAATTTCCTCATCCTACAATTCAGATCCTGCATCTCTACCTCACCTTAAACTTAGCAGACTCTTCTATCTTACCCCAGGAAAAGCAACACCTATGGAATACAGAGAAAACAGCCCACAGAGGCCCAGGATCTGGTTTCACACCTGGCTAGGCAGTGCCACAACAGCAGAAGCCAGAAAAGTCAGCCCTCAGTTCCATTACTTAACAGGCCAATGCAAACTCAAAGCTTCCCTTTCTTCTTCTCCTGTAGTAGTTTTCTAAGGAGAAAACATGCAAGCTCCAGCCGGGCGTGGTGGTGCATGCCTATAATCCTAGCACTTGGGAGGCTGAGGGAGGAGGATCCCTGTGAGTTCCAGTCCAGCCTGGGCTACATAGTGAGTAAAAAAAAAGAAATGCAAGCTTAATCACAGCCTTGGAAGTATGTCACCTATGGGATGCCTTTTGCAGACAGGTGCCCTTACCATCCAGCACTGTCTGCACAATGTCCTTTCAGAACACAGGACCACTTGTTCTTATGTCCCTGCTACACAGTGCCAGAGTATGGTCTTGACCCACAGCAGACTGCCTGCCACTCCAATATCCCCACCTACCCCTCTGGTACCCACCCATCTGTGGGCACATTCCACTGAGATATTGCTGTATAACCTCAACATCAGCAGGGGTACAGGCAGGACATGAGGGCCAAAGAGACAGTCTTGGGCATGACATGAGAACAAACACCTGAGGTTGCCAGCTCTTGTCCAGCTGTCATCACAAATGAAAGACACGGCAATGTCCAACATGACTAAAGTCCATCACCAAAACCCTCATTCAAAGTCTCCTGGCTGAAGCACCTTGCTGAGCAAAGACAGAGAACCTGAGTTCAAGTCAAAGAGTAAATGGGACTCAAAAAAAGAAGAAAAGTAGATGGGAATCCCAACACCATGTGACATCACCAGGGCTAACCTGACATGCTTCCTTCCCAAAAACCTGGCTATGCATGTGGCTTCAGGCTGGCCTCCCAGAGAGATGAACCATTAATGTCACTAGGCTGCAGGACAGCAACAGCTTTTCTGAGCCATTCTCCTGGCAGAGGTCCCATGAGGGCTCACCTGCAGCCCTCCAGTACCCTCCTAACTCTAATGACCATCATCCAGCAGAAAGAACTGTGACCAATGGCAGAAACAGGTCTGATAGTACCCCACACAGCACATGAGGAAGGCTTGTATCCTCCTCCTGTCGCTGGCTGGCAGAACCTGCCAGAGCCTCACCCAAAGCCCTAGCTACCTGGCACACTTTCCTGCCAAAGCAAGGGAAGTAAGGTTAACTGCAAGCCGCAGATGATACCATGTAGAGATAACTAAGGACCAGCAACATTTAGTTGCAAAAATACAAATTCAGAACAAATCCTCAATCTCAATTTTCCCTGAAAAAACTAATATACAAAATGACAATAACACTCTGTGGTTTGTTGAAGTTTGAAGTCTTGGGGTCAACAAATCCCAGTACCACAAAAAAGGAAGAAAGGAAAAAAAAAAAAAAAAAAAAAAAAAGGAAAAACCCTCACCAAATCTCTATCTGTGCCCAACGGGTGCGGCTGTGGAAACGGACTCGACAAAAAGCAGGCATCCAGGCAAGCGCCTCCCACGTGAGCAGCTGGTCCCCAGCACTGTGAGCTACAACACATGCCCAGCAGGGTCCCCAGCCCACAGTGTTTCTGGGCATGGGAGAAGGTGCACAGTGTCACCTTCAGAAGCACAAGCCTTGAAGCAGATGCCCACAGCAACTCATACCTCCCACACAGGCTGGGGCTAGCAATAGGGCCCAAGCACGGTGTGGTGCTGACCTCTGCTTTCTCTACCTGAAGACTCACCCTGAGCTCATGCTGCAGCCCCACTCCCACTCCCTAGTAACCTAGGCGGCAGAGCTATCATCATCACAGGACAGGAGGCTGAGATCAAAGAGAACGATGGGGAGCAAGTCAGAAAGCTGGCTCATGGCCAGGCGTGGTGGTGCACGCCTACAATCCCAGCACTCGGGAGGCTGAGGCAGGCAAATCATTGAGCTCGAGACCAGCCTGGGCTACAGAGTGAGTTCCAGGTCTGTCTCAACTACATAGTGAGACCCTGTCTCAAAAATCAAAATAAAAAAATTAAAAAAAAAAGAAGAAGAAGAAGCTGGCTCAGAAGCACCAGGCTATGTCATCCTAACCACCTCCTCCTAGGCAGGTTATTTAGACCTTTTAGGACAAGAACCCAGAACAGACAGCAATTTCCTCCCACCCTCAGCAATCACGTCCATCAGCCAGCGCAGATCAGGCAGATATCCTTCCCCTGCCTTCTCCAGGCTCTTCCTCACACCTACACAGGCTGACCAGAGAATCAGCTCCCTGGCTGCAAAAACTAGTCTAGTGAGATCCACACCTGGGCAAAGCCATGAGTAGGGGCTTCTCTAGCCCATGAGTCCTCCCACTCCCATCTCTGGCTGATATTCTCTTTAGCTGTATCACCTGTAGCCTAAAGAACTCAAAGGGGAAAAAACAGTAAATAGAGTTTGGTCCACTCTTAGAAATGGGTTTTCAGCTAGTTCTACCTGTAAGAAAAATAAAAAGTAATGGTTTCACGACTCCACAGAACACTAGAGAAAAACAAGGTGACAGTTTCACAACCCACAGAGTATGGCTGCTCCCACACAAAGCAGTGATAAGCTAAGAGACCAGGGCACCAGGGTCTTAGAGAGGGTGAAGCCCACGGGGGCAGACACCCACACAGGATCCTGAGCCTTGCTCCCACCCCAGACATCAGGGTGCTGCTGGTTAAAAGGAATCTACAAACACTTGGATCAGAGAAGTCAGTGAGCTTGACATCACCTTCTCCTGCAAAAGCTCCAGGCAGTCAAATCCTGCAGCAGCCCATCTCCTGAAGCTGTCCAGGGCCATCATCAAACAGGCAGAGCAGCCAATGTCCTCAGCAACACCCCCAAGTAACACTGTCTGCTGGGCTGTCCGTGCAGAAAGGCCTCTGCTGTATAAGCTTCACCGTAACAGCTTGTTCACCAAGAGTTGAGGTGAGAGCCAGAGGAACAAGCCTTTGCAGGGAAAGGGGCAATCCAATCTACACCTCTACACTAAGCCACAGGTTTCTCTCAGAGGGATCAGAATTCTACATGTCCTGAGCTCTTTGAGAGATGATATGAGATCATATCATCCCAGCAGCCATTTGTCAGATGGCTCCAAACACACGAGAGAAATGAAGTCTTCTGAGACATATATACACATCTGGGGAGGTGGGTACTAGAGGTTGAATCCAGGGTATATTACCAGCACCCTGCCTCCTCTATTTTTCATTTTGAGATGGGATTACAAAATTACTAAATTGCCCAGACTGAGCTTGAACTTGCAATCTCCTGACTCAGCCTCCCAGAGTATTGGGATTACAAGTGTATGCCACCATGCCCAGATTCCTGAGACTATGTCGAGTCTGAGTCTGCATTGCGAGCCTGCCCAGCACCCTAACTGCATTGAAACATGTCTGCCCAAGGAACTTCGGCTCCCAGCAAAGTCAGTGCCTAGTACATCCCTAAAGACACCCCACCAGTGCTCCTCAAATACCTAGGGCAGCAGCTGGCTGATGAACTAAAGCGCATGAACTGCCAGTTTCCCTGCACCAGCCTCTCACGTGACATCAGATATCCCATGGGCATAGTGAGCTGGACTGGTCCCCAGATACCTTCAAGACCAACTCAGCAACATTTCCTTCTAACCCAAACACAGAAGGAACTTCAGTCTATGCTTTACAGCAATACATTTCTTTCTAAACAAGAAATGAAAAGGTCCCACAAAGAGATTATACCTCAACACTCTTCTACCCAGTTCAGACGTTACAATCAGGTAGAATACAGATAAACAACATGCTTTTATCTAGATTAAAGATCTAGCAGAAGTCGCTCTGAACTACAGCTCTGACAGGCACACAAAGTTGTCCCATACTTCAACTGTACTCTCCTGACATTCCACATGGCTGCCATACAGTGTCTTCTACACCACAGGGTACCTTTGATCTCACAAGCATGACTCCCCTCAGAAACCCAAGCACAGTGAAGCTCGAAGATCCCAACAAGTAGAAATGAGTCTGAAGGAAGGACAACAAACAAAAATCTGTCACCACCAAAATCAGACAAGGTGGTGCCACCCATTTTTCCCCGCTATTGAAAGCCAAGAGGGTCTTCCAGTCAGACACTGCCTGAGCCCAGCTTAGGCCTCTCAATGAAGGTGCCTGGGTTAGGCAGAGGAAAGCTTTAAGCAGGGTTCAGTGGTTGAGCGAATGTCCTTCAGCTACATCTCCTGTTCCAGAGGAGTTTAAACAGTAGTTTTATTTGTACTTGAGAGGAGAAAAATTGCTAGTAAACACTGAAATGCACTTGGTGCCAAGTGTGCACGGCTCTCTGCCCCAGGGAGAGTTGGGAGGAGGAGGACCAAAGGAGGCGCTGACGGCACAGGCACTCACAGGTCGGACTGGGTCACTTTGTCATTCCATTCTCCAAGTTTCTCAGAAGTTTTCACATAGCTAAAAACAGAAAGTTTGTGGTGAATATTTAGAATGATTTCAACTCAGGCTTCAAAGTATAGGTGAGATTCCAGAAGACACAAAGGAGGACCACCTGGCACAAACACCAGGGGCCAGCTGAGACACCAGCAGGGCAGAGCTGAACACTTCCTCTCCCACCACACCAACGCAGCCCCAGCTCTGTTGTTGGAAGGTGGCTCCTGGGGAACAGCACTTGTGGGAAGGCAGGATGGTATAACCCATGGCCCCAAAATAATCTGACAGTCACTTTTCAGAACCCAAAAGTCAGTGTCCTAAGGAGGAATATGGGGCTTCCATAGATGAGGATTATGAACTGCAACTCAATCTGCTCTTCTTCAGGACATGGCTTCTGAAAGCATCTCATCCTTCTACCTTGAAGGACATGTATCAATCAAGCGGAGCCAGGGACAGAAAACACAACTGCTCAAATTCAGGGAGCTAAGCCATGCATGGGTCAGAGGTTCTGAGCTGTGACAGTGTAATGTTCATAAGAAGGACTGGTGTCAAAAATGAATAAATAAATAAGAAAGAAAGACTGGGGTCCATTTCAGCAGACCCAAAAAGTCATTCTCTTAAATACCTAACTGATGCCCTCTAGAATATGGACCCTAAAACACCTTCTTCTTGTCAGTATCTGTTTGGCTAACTAGCTAGCGTGTGCAACACCTTTTTGAACACTGTAGACTCTACACTTGGAGTAAACTCAGGTACAGGCCCTACACAAGGACTCCAGGCCTTGGCTATCTGCGCCCAAGCAGTCTCACTCCATCGTCAATGCTATAGGACATCTCATCCAAAGCACTCACACTCTCCGTCTGCAAGAAAGAGGCACAGCCCTGGTGAGGGCTTTCTCCAGTCAACAGGGCTGTGCTCAGGATGGGGCTGGTACCTACGCAGTAGAGACCTGCACATCGTGCCAACTCTTAGACAGGTTCTGCTTCAGCTCGCCCAAGGCAGACAGGCCCAGCCTCCTTTTCAGCTCTCCACAGTGCCTCTCCTTGGCTGCCAGGACCTGGCGCAGGGTGACAATTTCTTCTTCCACCTGCAAAGCATGCAGTTGACATGATGAGACATCACTACTGTAGGAAGTGACCACCATTCTTATACATGACGCAATCAAGTTTCTTAGAATTACTACCTTGGAACACCCAGCTTATAAAAACACAATTCATATTATGAACTGCATCTACAGCAATAGCTGCTGGGTTTTTGCTTGCTTTGGTACCAGGGATTAAACTCAGGACCTTGCACTTGTGAGGCAGGTGGCAACACCACTGAGCTGAATCCCTCATTGTTTTTGAGACAGTGTCTCACTATGCAGTTCAGGCTGGGCTTGAAGTCACCATAAAGCCCAGGATGGCCTTGAATTCACTATGATCTTCCTGCCTCAGGTACGTGCCTCTGCACCTGGCAACAGCTGCTGGTTTTATGTGGCACCAGCACCCTGACTTCTGGAGAACTGTGCACTCCCACCCCAGGGCTGCCTCCCTGTCACTGTGCCTCCCCAATCCCAGCAGTCTATGGAGTCTCAGGCTTATCTGGTAAGGCCTGCAGAGCCCTTCCCTGGGCCTTAGTATCAGGAAAGAAGCACCTTTTCCCTCTGGGCTCTGGGTCTAAGCTTGGACATAAGAGTTGGAACTGCTGGGGCTGTGGATTTAGTTCACTGGCAGCGCACCTGCCTCATAAGCACAAGGTCCTGAGTTCGATCCCCGGAATAAAAAACAAACAAACAAACAAACAAAAACTAAACCAAAGAGTTGGAACTGCTGCAGCCAAGCCGTGGCTGGAGCCGTGGGGGAATTCCCTATGTAGAGCTGACAGAACTGTAAGTGACCAAGTGACAGAAACAGCCTTTATGATATCTATATTTGTGAGGTCAGCTCCAGGTCTTGGCAAAAACCAGCTATGGCCAGTGTTGTGGCAAGCACATCGGTAATCACAGCACTGAGGAGGCTGAGGCAGGAAGATCGCCATGAGTTCAGGACCAGCCTGGGCCACATAGTGAGTTCCAGCCCAGCCTAAACTACAATGAGACCCTGCCTTCAAACAAAAAAGACAGGGAAGAAAAAAAGAAATAATCATAGCTGAACAAAATAAAACTATACAGCAAACTGAAATTTTTAAGTAACAGAGAACTTTTTCACCTTGCAATTCAACTCTGAAAGACACCTTGTAGTTTCAACTTCTAAACCCACGTATTCTTAAATAAAAGCAAAGTCTCCATGGACCTCTTGCTACTTTTCCCTTAATCTTCTTTAAATCCAGAGACATCTTTAAATGTCCCCATGTTCTGAAATCTGCTTGAGTCAAGGCCCAGCTATTCAACTCACTCTGCTCAGATCTGGGCAGAGTACTTACGAAAGGGCTGGGGGCGGCAGCAAGCAGAGTGAAGTGAAAGTCTCGTAGGATAGTTTGAATAAAAATTATGCTTGGAGGTACATAAAAGCTCTTAATTATTTTACTGTTAAGGGATCATTACTTAAAGCTTACATGAAGCATGTGATCTTAACAAAAAATAGGTACCATACACATATACACACGTATAAATCTCACCACTATTTTCAAAAGAAAAATTAAGATCTAGGGAAGGCAGATTCATAAGGTCTCAAAAACAACTGATTTAGCTCAGTGGTTCCGCCTTCCTCACAAGCTCAAGGCCCCAAGTTCGATCCCCGGTACCACCCCCCCAAAAAAAACCCTGTTAATTGTTAATCTCGATAGAAAAAAAATCTCAGCTGGGCTGGGGATTTAGCTCAGTGATACTGTGCCTGCCTGGCAAGTGCAAGGTTCTGAGTTCAATTCCTGATATCAAGAAAAAATATCTTAGCTGATGGCATGCTCAGAGAGGCCATCCCTGTGCGGATACAGTGGACCCTTGACTTACAAACTCAATTCGCTCCCAAAGGCTGGTTATAACTCAAGGGTCAAATGAAGGCTCAGGCTTCTCTACACAGCCTTCAAAGTCTCTCTTCTATACACAAGCAGATCCCAGTGCTCTTAGAGAGACAGTGGTCCAGGATTTCTCAACCCCACACAGGAAAGGATGTTAAAATGTACCTTCCAGAAATCTTTAAGGGATAAATCTGTATCTGAGATCATCTAGAAGCACAAGCAGCCAGCATCTGGGTCATAACTCAAGACTTTGGTTGTAAGTTCAAACTAAAATTCCGGTAGTAACCCATGTTGTTCGAAGGTCAGGCTAGTAGTATCTTAAGAGTACCCTGTATTCTTTTCATGGCTGCTTCCATCCCAGGTAGCTGAGCCCACTTCATGGAGGTAGGCACAAAGTGATGGCCCTTTAAGGGGTGAGAACACAGAGCAGCAGGCAGGTGGCCCACCAAGATAATTCCTCCAGAGCACAGACAGTAGTCTGGTCCCTCATTAATCCAAGACAGCCTTGAATCTTGGTCACCCTAGGACAGACCACAGCACCTTGGCGAGCTCTGTCCTGAGCTCCTCCTCTTCTGCCTCCGTCAGACCCTCCATAGCAGGAGTCCGGGCAGCAACACCTGGGTCAACAGGGACATCAATCATGAAGTCAGGTAGCTGACCTTTGTTAGGAGAATTCAGGTTGATATCTGCCAGAAACATAATGAGGTCAGAAAGTGTACATTAAGTTATCAGGAAGTAAACAGGGTGGAGATTACCCAGGAAGGAAGGAAAGGCAGGTAGTCAGGGAGAGGGTGGAAGGGAAACCATGGAGACCAACATCACCTCCCAGACTTGTGAACATGGTCTGTGCAGCTATCTCTGAAGCCACCTGAAAAGCAAACCCAATACCAATTGTATTGCTGGGGCACTAGAAATGCTAGCCAAGGTAGTCAAACCCTACCTTGACAGGTTTCTCCTATCAGAATACTGTCTAAGGCAAAAAACTCTTGCTACAAAGAGAACAGCCCAATACAACAGAAATTCAATTTTTTAGACCAAAGGAACTTAATATGGCAAACAACAGCACAAGCAACACTTTCCACTCAATTCCTCTGGCAGAGACATACTAAAACAAAATACAAGTAACGTGTGCTAGTCATCCAGCCCCTGCAAGAAATCAATAAAACAAAAATCCCCTTTAATCTCATCCTTGATCCTTATCCCATAGCCAAGAGACTGACAGCACGTGCAGAAGGGGAGAGGGAAACACAGCCCCCACACACTCTGTCATACCACATCGGGTTCACATTCCTGAAGTGATTATTTTTCTTCACATTAAGTACATCTTCCTGGCTCCACTAAAAGCCTAGAAGATTCCATATAAAGAAAAACATTTTGTCTCAATTCTTTCCAACACCAAACATATGACTACTCTTCAGTACGTTACTTCTATATACTCAGCACTGAAAATATCTTCTCTGTTGGGAAGAGGTACATGCCTATTATAACAGTACTTGGGAGTCTGAGGCAGGAGGATCACTTTGAGTTCAACACCAGCCTGGTCTACACAGGGTTGAAGGCTCAAACAGGCGGGTGAGATCCTGTCTCAAAAACAACAACAAATATTTTTCCTCTTCACCAGTGCTTTCTGTGAATAAAGAGACTTACACTGATGTCTGCATGTTCCAGAGTAAATTAAAATAAAAAGTATAAAGACTGGAAAGAAGAAAAAAAGTGTCTTTAATTTTAGATAAGTTTGTCAACCATACCAATTCTGAAGAGTCTATTAAATACAGATCACACTGAAAACCAAAGATGCTCTATTTAAAAGTAGCTGGCTGCAACTTATGCCCTTGGTATGGCCTATATCCCAGGACTTATGTATTTTTTAGCATTCAACAGATGTTTAAGGGGGGAAGGGAAGTAAAAAAATTAAAATGTGTTATGTACATGTGCCACTTCCCCATGATAAAGGTAATCATTAGGTACTGCAAACATGTACTAATAAAAAATGTTGGGCGAGGGATTTAGTTCAGTGGTGCCACCACCTGCCTTGCAAAAGCAAGGTCCCGAGCTCGATCATTGTACCAAAAAAAAGAAAGAAAGAAAAGAAAAGAAAAAATGTTTACTAAACAAAGTGTATCTAGGGCCAGGGATTTAGCGCAATGGTTCTGCCACCTGTCTCGCCAGTGCAAAGTCCCAAGTTCAATCCTCGGTACCAAAAAAACAAAACAAAAAAAAGCATATCTATTTTTTTCAAAGCACATCTATTTTTAAAACTACCTTTTTAACTGAGACCAATCTACATGATCTTACTTCATCACATCTATCCACTGTGTTGAAACTACTCAAGGGCCAGGGATTTAGCTCAGTGGCACCACGCCTGCCTGGTAAGTGCAAGGCTAACTAAAATCAATCCCCAGTACCAGAAAAGAAAAGAAACGAAATGAAACAAAATGAAACTACTCAAATTTCAGTGTCTTGAACAAGTCTCTACAAATTTTCCCCTATATTAAAAAAAAAAAAAAAAAA